CGTTGTTGATGGTGTAGAGTAAACGTTGTTGATGGTGTAGAGTAAACGTTGTTGATGGTGTAGAGTAAACGTTGTTGATGGTGTAGAGTAAACGTTGTTGATGGTGAAGAGTAAACGTTGATGGTGTAGAGTAAACGTTGTTGATGGTGTAGAGTAAACGTTGTTGGTGGTGTAGAGTAAACGTTGTTGATGGTGTAGAGTAAACGTTGATGGTGTAGAGTAAACGTTGTTGATGGTGTAGAGTAAACGTTGTTGATGGTGTAGAGTAAACGTTGTTGATGGTGTAGAGTAAACGTTGTTGATGGTGTAGAGTAAACGTTGTTGATGGTGTAGAGTAAACGTTGTTGATGGTGTAGAGTAAACGTTGTTGATGTTGAAGAGTAAACGTTGATGGTGTAGAGTAAACGTTGTTGATGGTGTAGAGTAAACGTTGTTGATGGTGTAGAGTAGAGGTTGATGGTGTAGAGTAAACGTTGATGATGGTGTAGAGTAAACGTTGTTGATGGTGTAGAGTAAACGTTGTTGATGGTGTAGAGTAAACGTTGTTGATGGTGTAGAGTAAACGTTGTTGATGGTGTAGAGTAAACGTTGTTGATGGTGAAGAGTAAACGTTGTTGATGGTGTAGAGTAAACGTTGTTGATGGTGAAGAGTAAACGTTGTTGATGGTGTAGAGTAAACGTTGATGATGGTGAAGAGTAAACGTTGTTGATGGTGTAGAGTAAACGTTGATGGTGTAGAGTAAACGTTGTTGATGGTGTAGAGTAAACGTTGTTGGTGGTGTAGAGTAAACGTTGTTGATGGTGAAGAGTAAACGTTGTTGATGGTGTAGAGTAAACGTTGTTGATGGTGTAGAGTAAACGTTGATGGTGTAGAGTAAACGTTGTTGATGGTGTAGAGTAAACGTTGTTGGTGGTGTAGAGTAAACGTTGTTGATGGTGAAGAGTAAACGTTGTTGATGGTGTAGAGTAAACGTTGTTGATGGTGTAGAGTAAACGTTGTTGGTGGTGTAGAGTAAACGTTGTTGATGGTGTAGAGTAAACGTTGATGGTGTAGAGTAAACGTTGTTGATGGTGTAGAGTAAACGTTGTTGATGGTGTAGAGTAGACGTTGTTGATGGTGAAGAGTAAACGTTGTTGATGGTGTAGAGTAAACGTTGTTGATGGTGTAGAGTAAACGTTGTTGATGGTGTAGAGTAAACGTTGTTGATGGTGTAGAGTAAACGTTGTTGATGGTGTAGAGTAGAGGTTGTTGATGGTGTAGAGTAAACGTTGTTGATGGTGTAGAGTAAACGTTGTTGATGGTGTAGAGTAGAGGTTGTTGATGGTGTAGAGTAGAGGTTGTTGATGGTGTAGAGTAAACGTTGTTGATGGTGTAGAGTAAACGTTGTTGATGGTGAAGAGTAAACGTTGTTGATGGTGTAGAGTAAACGTTGTTGATGGTGTAGAGTAGAGGTTGATGGTGAAGAGTAAACGTTGTTGATGGTGTAGTGTAGAGGTTGATGATGTAGAGTAAACGTTGTTGATGGTGTAGAGTAAACGTTGTTTATGGTGTAGAGTAAACGTTGTTGATGGTGAAGAGTAAACGTTCATACCGCACTGCCTGCAGTCGAGTTAACTCTTCCCACCGTCGCACACACCCTGCTGTAAACTTCCGCGGGGACATTAACCCAAGCTATAACAAGAAATACACTATAACAAGAAATACACCACAACAAGAAATACACCACAACAAGAAATACACCATGACAAGAAATACACTATGACAAGAAATACACTATAACAAGAAATACACCATGACAAGAAATACACTATAACAAGAAATACACTACCACAAGAAATACACTATAACAAGAAATACACCATGACAAGAAATACACTATAACAAGAAATACACTATAACAAGAAATACACTATAACAAGAAATACACTACCACAAGAAATACACCATGACAAGAAATACACTATAACAAGAAATACACTATAACAAGAAATACACCATGACAAGAAATACACTATAACAAGAAATACACTATAACAAGAAATACACTATGACAAGAAATACACTATAACAAGAAATACACTATGACAAGAAATACACTATGACAAGAAATACACTATAACAAGAAATACACTACCACAAGAAATACACTGACAATAAATACACTACCACAAGAAATACACTATGACAAGAAATACACTATAACAAGAAATACACTACCACAAGAAATACACCATGACAAGAAATACACTATGACAATAAATACACTATAACAAGAAATACACTATGACAAGAAATACACTTGTTATTTTACCAGGTAAGGCCCACTGAGCTATGTAGTTCTTTTCCAGAAGCGACCTGGCGATCACAAATTATAAGCCGAACCAAAGTGGCTTATCGTGTAGAAATGTATAGCAGCCAAATACTCTAAACACACGTTGGTTCTAAATGTGAACACGTTGGTTCTAAATATGCACACGTTGGTTCTAAATGTGAACACGTTGGTTCTAAATGTGCACACGTTAGTTCTAAATGTGAACACGTTAGTTCTAAATGTGCACACGTTTGTTCTAAATGTGCACACGTTGGTTCTAAATGTGAACACGTTAGTTCTGAATGTGCACACGTTGGTTCTAAATGTGCAAACGTTAGTTCTAAATGTGCACACGTTGGTTCTAAATGTGCACACGTTAGTTCTAAATGTGCACACGTTGGTTCTAAATGTGCACACGTTCTAAATGTGAACACGTTGGTTCTAAATGTGAACACGTTGGTTCTAAATGTGCACACGTTAGTTCTAAATGTGAACACGTTGGGTCTAAATGTGAACACGTTGGTTCTAAATGTGAACACGTTAGTTCTAAATGTGAACACGTTGGTTCTAAATGTGAACACGTTGGTTCTAAATGTGCACACGTTAGTTCTAAATGTGCACACGTTTGTTCTAAATGTGCACACGTTGGTTCTAAATGTGCACACGTTAGTTCTAAATGTGCACACGTTGGTTCTAAATGTGCACACGTTAGTTCTAAATGTGCACACGTTAGTTCTAAATGTGAACACGTTAGTTCTGAATGTGCACACGTTGGTTCTAAATGTGATTACGTTGGTTGTAAATGTGAACACGTTAGTTCTAAATGTGCACACGTTGGTTCTAAATGTGCACACGGTTCTAAATGTGAACACGTTAGTTCTAAATGTGCACACGTTGGTTCTAAATGTGCACACGGTTCTAAATGTGCACACGTTAGTTCTAAATGTGCACACGTTGGTTCTAAATGTGAACACGTTAGTTCTAAATGTGCACACGTTGGTTCTAAATGTGCACACGTTAGTTCTAAATGTGAACACGTAAGCTCTGAATGTGCACACGTTGGTTCTAAATGTGCACACGGTTCTAAATGTGCACACGTTAGTTCTAAATGTGCACACGTTGGTTCTAAATGTGCACACGTTAGTTCTAAATGTGCACACGTTGGTTCTAAATGTGCACACGTTCGTTCTAAATGTGAACACGTTGGTTCTAAATGTGCACACGTTGGTTCTAAATGTGAACACGTTGGTTCTAAATGTGAACACGTTGGTTCTAAATGTGAACACGTTGGTTCTAAATGTGAACACGTTAGTTCTAAATGTGCACACGTTGGTTCTAAATGTGCACACGTTAGTTCTAAATGTGCACACGTTAGTTCTAAATGTGAACACGTTAGTTCTGAATGTGCACACGTTGGTTTTAAATGTGAACACGTTAGTTCTAAATGTGCACACGTTGGTTCTAAATGTGAACACGTTAGTTATAAATGTGAACACGTTAGTTCTAAATGTGAACACGTTAGGTCTGAATGTGCACACGTTGGTTCTAAATGTGAACACGTTAGTTCTAAATGTGCACACGTTGGTTCTAAATGTGAACACGTTAGTTCTAAATGTGAACACGTTAGTTCTGAATGTGCACACGTTGGTTCTAAATGTCAACACGTTAGTTCTAAATGTGAACACGTTAGTTCTAAATGTGAACACGTTGGTTCTAAATGTGCACACGTTAGTTCTAAATGTGAACACGTTAGTTCTAAATGTGAACACGTTAGCTCTGAATGTGCACATGTTGGTTCTAAATGTGAAAACGTTAGTTCTAAATGTGAACACGTTGGTTCTAAATGTGAACACGTTGGTTCTAAATGTGCACACGTTAGTTCTAAATGTGAACACGTTGGTTCTAAATGTGAACACGTTGGTTCTAAATGTGCAGGGACCCGGAGACAAATCCATGGGGAAACATGCAAACTCCAAATATAGAGCAGGTGTCTGGATCGGTAAGGAACCCACGACCTGCATACCAGGCGAGGTAGTCAACATCTCACCACCGCAGTGCCCGAGTCAGACCTTAACTGTGAGGCTATCGCCAATCTCAATTGTTGCTGACGAAGGAGGTCAATTGGCCGAAACGTCGTCAACGTTTTTGTCTCGGTGACGACATTCAAGAAATATAAACCCCGATGCAGGATTGCACAGGGCGGTCCATGTATGGACACCCTGGTAAAATAATCTAGAAAACTAATGAGAGATTTTAACATTTTACTTACAAGTCTACAAAGGTCTCCCACCAATCCGATAACAGTTCAACACAGCCCGTGGGATTTGCCCACAGCCATTCCAGGATGAGTAACCGAGGTCACGATTGATCCTTGCGGGTTTGCCGCGTGCTAAGACGAAGATCCCCTCCTATAGCCTCAATGGGGGCAACATCTTGCACGGCCGCATTTGTCTTCTTAGGGCTGACGATTCTCGATCACGACCACCAACACCAGTGACGATTAAATTATCGGAACCGGTCCTGGGGCTCCCCGTAGGTCGACTCAGCCTCAAATGAGTACCTGGCGCGGTGTGTAGTAAACATCGCCACTGGGGAGACAAAGGCGGCCGGGCGTGGTGCTGCTGGCCACCCACCCCCTCGTGTGCCGCCCCTTGCCAATGACAGGCGCTCGCTAACAGCACTTGCCCCAACAGTCTGCGCATGCTACACGGGGGATCTTTGCCTTGTGTGCGTCGCGGTGTGTTCCAGTTGTGCGAGTTGGCCGCGTCACTTCGCATGATCCGCGTCGTCGTCATCGTCATCGTTGTTATCGTCATTGTCGTCGATGTTGTCGATGTTTCCCGGCACTGACGGCAGCGGCCTCTGCCACGGAATTCCCCGCGGGCTCTCGGCACCCGAGAGACACCGCCACTGCGTCCACCCACTTCTGTAACCTTGACTTGACAGAGTTGCAGTATCATCACCCCCTTTGTCAACGACGGCCGGGTGAAGGAGTTCGTGAACGCGACGGTGGCTCTGCGATGCCTCGCACAGACGATTTTATTGGATTCGATGTTCCGCACCTTTAACTTGTCAAGCCGCATTGACCAGCGCGGTGAAGTATAGTCAAGCGAGCCATGTGCTCTATACGGCGTGGGCGAGGGGGGCTTCATCCAGCAGTGGATTCACAAATGTCTGTAAATTATTCATCATAACCATTAGCCGCGGTCTTGAGAGAGCGCCTCTTAAGTTCGGTTTGCCTGCGATCTGTACCCACACACGCCCGCCCGGCCGCCTTTGTCTGCCCAGAGCCGTGTGTTTACAATGTACGCGAGGCAACTTGTTTTAAGGCCGAGTCGACCTTGGGGGTGGCCCGGGCTCGACTTATTTCCTGCTATGACGAGTCACGGAGCTTTTACGCGGAAGCTGCGAGCGACGCAGCCGTTAAAGTCGCAGCTGTGACAGGAGCTGGGACAGGAGCTGGGACAGGAGCTCGCAGACTCCCCCTGGGACAGGAGCTGTGACAGGAGCTGTGACAGGAGCTCGCAGACTCTCGCTGTGACAGGAGCTGGTACAGGAGCTGGGACAGGAGCTCGCAGACTCTCGCTGGTACAGGAGCTGTGACAGGAGCTGGGACAGGAGCTCGCAGACTCCCCCTGGGACAGGAGCTGGGACAGGAGCTGGGACAGGAGCTCGAAGACTCCCCCTGGGACAGGAGCTGGGACAGGAGCTGTGACAGGAGCTCGCAGACTCTCGCTGTGACAGGAGCTGGTACAGGAGCTGGGACAGGAGCTCGCAGACTCTCGCTGGTACAGGAGCTGTGACAGGAGCTGGGACAGGAGCTCGCAGACTCCCCCTGGGACAGGAGCTGGGACAGGAGCTGGGACAGGAGCTCGAAGACTCCCCCTGGGACAGGAGCTGGGACAGGAGCTGTGACAGGAGCTCGCAGACTCTCGCTGTGACAGGAGCTGGTACAGGAGCTGGGACAGGAGCTCGCAGACTCTCGCTGGTACAGGAGCTGTGACAGGAGCTGGGACAGGAGCTCGCAGACTCCCCCTGGGACAGGAGCTGGGACAGGAGCTCGCAGACTCTCGCTGGTATAGGAGCTAGGACAGGAGCTGGGACAGGAGCTGGCAGACTCCCCCTGGGACAGGAGCTGGGACAGGAGCTAGGACAGGAGCTCGCAGACTCCCCCTGGGACAGGAGCTCGCAGACAGCGGCCTGACGGCCCCCAGGGGCCCCCACTCGCACGGGCTCGCATGTCCAGGTGAGCCAGAACGCTCGGGACGGGACGGTCAGCGTGTCTGTCTGTGTCTACCTGTGTCTATCTGTCTACCAGTGTCTACCAGTGTCGACCAGTGTCTACCTGTGTGTCTACCTGTGTGTCTACCAGTGTCTACCTGTGTCTACCTGTGTGTCTACCAGTGTCTACCAGTGTCTACCTGTGTCTGTCTGTTTCTACCTGTGTCTGTCTGTGTCTACCTGTGTCTACCAGTGTCGACCAGTGTCTACCTGTGTACCAGTGTCTACCTGTGTCTACGTGTGTCTACCAGTGTCTACCAGTGTCTACCTGTGTCTGTCTGTGTCTACCTGTGTCTGTGTCTACCAGTGTCGACCAGTGTCTACCTGTGTCTACCAGTGTCGACCAGTGTCTACCTGTGTGTACCAGTGTCTAGGTGTGTGTACCAGTGTCTACCTGTGTCTATCTATCTACCTGTGTGTACCAGTGTCTACCTGTGTCTATCTGTCTACCTGTGTCTAACAGTGTCGACCAGTGTCTACCTGTGTCTACCTGTGCGTACCAGTGTCTAGGTGTGTGTACCAGTGTCTACCTGTCTACCAGTGTCTACCTGTGTCTATCTGTCTACCTGTCTATCAGTGTCTACCTGTGTGTACCCATGTCTACCTGTGTCTATCTGTCTACCTCTGTCTACCTGTGTCTACCAGTGTCTACCTGTGTCTACCTGTGCGTACCAGTGTCTAGGTGTGTGTACCAGTGTCTACCTGTCTACCAGTGTCTACCTGTCTACCAGTGTCTACCTGTGTGTACCTGTGTCTACCTATGTGTCTACCTGTCTACAAGTGTCTACCTGTGTGTACCAGTGTCTACCTGTGTCTACCAGTGTCTACCTGTGTCTACCTGTGTCTACCAGTGTCGACCAGTGTCTACCTGTGTCTACCTGTGCATACCAGTGTCTAGGTGTGTGTACCAGTGTCTACCTGTCTACCAGTGTCTACCTGTGTCTATCTGTCTACCTGTCTATCAGTGTCTACCTGTGTGTACCAGTGTCTACCTGTGTCTATCTGTCTACCTCTGTCTACCTGTGTCTACCAGTGTCTACCTGTGTCTACCTGTCTACCAGTGTCTACCTGTCTACCAGTGTCTACCTGTGTGTACCTGTGTCTACCAGTGTCTACCTGTGTGTACCTGTGTCTACCTGTGTGTCTACCTGTCTACCAGTGTCTACCTGTCTACCTGTGTCTACCAGTGTCTACCTGTGTGTACCAGTGTCTACCTGTGTCTACCAGTGTCGACCAGTGTCTACCTGTGTGTTTACCTGTGTCTACCTGTGTGTCTACCAGTGTCTACCTGTGTCTACCTGTGCGTACCAGTGTCTAGGTGTGTGTACCAGTGTCTACCTGTGTAACAGTGTCTACCTGTGTCTACCAGTGTCTACCTGTCTACCTGTGTCTACCAGTGTCTATCTGTCTACCTGTGTCTACCAGTGTCTACCTGTGTGTACCAGTGTCTACCTGTGTCTACCAGTGTCGACCAGTGTCTACCTGTGTGTCTACCTGTGTCTACCTGTGTGTCTACCAGTGTCTACCTGTGTGTACCAGTGTCTAGGTGTATGTACCAGTGTCTACCTGTGTCTACCAGTGTCGACCAGTGTCTACCTGTGTGTCTACCTGTGTCTACCTGTGTCTACCTGTGTGTGTACCAGTGTCTAGGTGTGTGTACCAGTGTCTACCTGTCCGTACCAGTGTCTACCTGTGTCTACCTGTGTCGACCAGTGTTTACCTATGTGTCTACCTGTGTCTACCTGTGTGTCTACCTGTGTCTACCTGTGCGTACCAGTGTCTAGGTGTGTACCAGTGTCTACTTGTGTACCAGTGTCTACCTGTGTCTATCAGTGTCTACCTGTATGTACCTGTGTCTACCAGTGTCTACCTGTATGTACCTTTGCCTACCAGTGTCTACCTGTGGGTACCAGTGTCTAGGTGTGTACCAGTGTCTACCTGTGTACCAGTGTCTTGCTTTGTCTACCAGTGTCTACCTGTCTACCAGTGTCTACCTGTGTCTACCTGTGTGTACCTGTGTGTACCTGTGTCTACCAGTGTCTACCTGTATGTACCTGTCTACCTGTGTGTACCAGTGTCTAGGTTTGTGTACTAGTGTCTACCTGTCTACCTGTGTCTACCAGTGTCTACTTGTCTACCAGTGTCTACCAGTGTCTACCTGTGCCTCCCAGTGTCTACCTGTGTGTATACCTGTGTCTACCAGTGTCTACCAGTGTCTACCTGTGTGTCTACCTGTGTCTACCTGTGTGTCTACCAGTGTCTACCAGTATCTACCTGTGTGTACCTGTGTGTACCAGTGTCTACCAGTATCTAGGTGTGTCTACCAGTGTCTACCTGTGTCTACCAGTGTCTACCTGTGTCTACCAGTGTCTACCTGTGTACCAGTGTCTACCTGTGTGTACCAGTGTCTACCAGTGTCTACCTGTGTACCAGTGTCTACCTGTGTGTACCTGTGTCTACCAGTGTCTACCTGTGTACCAGTGTCTACCTGTGTGTACCAGTGTCTACCAGTGTCTACCTGTGTCTATCAGTGTCTACCAGTGTCTCCCTGTGTTCCAGTGTCTACCTGTGTGTACCTGTGTTTACCTGTGTCTACCAGTGTCTACCTGTGTGTACCAGTGTTTACCTGTGTCTACCAGTGTCTACCTGTGTACCAGTGTCTACCAGTGTCTACCTGTGTACCAGTATCTACCTGTGTGTACCTGTGTCTACCTGTGTGTGTACCTGTGTCTACCTGTGTGTCTACCTGTGTGTCTACCTGTGTGTGTACCTGTGTCTACCTGTGTGTCTACCTGTGTGTCTACCTTCTTCCTGTGTGTACCTGTCTACCTGTGTGTGTACCTGTGTCTACCTGTGTGTCTACCTGTGTGTCTACCTGTGTCTACCTGTGTGTACTTGTGTGTACCTGTGTCTACCTGTGTGTACCTGTGTCTACCTGTGTGTCTACCTGTCTTCCTGTGTGTACCTGTGTGTACCTGTGTCTACCTGTGTGTGTACCTGTGTCTACCTGTGTGTCTACCTGTGTGTGTACCTGTGTCTACCTGTGTGTCTACCTGTGTGTCTACCTGTGTGTCTACCTGTCTTCCTGTGTGTACCTGTGTCTGCCTGTGTGTGTACCTGTGTCTACCTGTGTGTGTACCTGTGTCTACCTGTGTGTCTACCTGTGTGTGTGGGTATCTGCCGCGGTGCTGGCCACCCACCCCTCTCGTGACGGCCTTCCCAGCTGCTGCTGCTCGCTAACACGGCACTTGCCCCCCTCAGTTTCAAAATTGAATACCGTACAGTATAAAGTAGATTATGGTCAATATAAATTGTGTTCGTTCACAATAAGTTACGAAGTGTTTATAGTATGACATGGTAAGTCACGAATGCTGGAAACGCATCCTTATCGTTCTGTTTGTTGTACGTCCATCGTGATACGAAGTTTCAATATTCCAATAAAGCTTCAGGAACGCCTCGACGAGATTGTCCTCACACGCGAAGCACCGCATGTCAAATCCTATAGCAGCACCAATGTTTTGGAAAGACCTTGTTTCCTCCCTTAACATCGGTTATCTTCCTTTAAAAAACGATCCTGAAGCCAAAAGGTGCTGGATACAGTCACATTTGCAAACGCTATTTTTAACTGTGATCATCACATGTGAAGGTAGTATCGATCGTTCAATGTGAATGTGCCATTGTATTGAGGGACTGCTGCGGTGTGCTGTTGTCTTGGTGTGGTCTACGACTGCTGTTGTTGTTTTTGCTGCCTTGCCCAATCTGGATCAATCGGACTCTATAATGTATTTATTTATATTTAGTGACTTCCTTAACATTTTCTCTATTTTGCCCTCCTATCGTTTTTTTGTAGTTTTCTGTTATAACTTGCTGACCCACCCATACTGGACAACTGTGAAAGGAGCTTCATAGCTCATCGGATTCCTCCTGTAGTCTAAATTAATATTCTGATTCTTCTTATTCATTTTTTGATTTTTTTGTTAAATTCATAATGTAATCATAAAAAAACTATTGTCATGTTTGTCCGGGTGACAACGTCATTTGTGTGGCTGTGTCGGGTGCTGGAGGGCCACGGATTTACTTTGACACCCACACGATCTGTGGATGAGCCATCAAGCCGGGTGGCAGTGGTGGCTGTGCACGTGGTCTGTGATCCAGCACTGTGTGGAGGCAGCAGCAGCGAGGGTTCGTGGATCACTTCACGAATGTCGTGAAACTTCCTTCCTGTGGGCGTCGAGGACGAGCCGTACCCTGGCTCGCCAGAAGGAGGCGTTACAGGAAAGTGCGGCCCAATCTTCATCTTGCCCCCATTGAGCAAGACTCTACGGGTGCTCTGGTTTCCACACACATGTAAAGACGTGTTTGTTGAACTTCTTTGGCACCGTACGTTGACAACCTCGCGAATCGTAGGTTGATTGCCTGATAACGCATTAATATATAGATGACCGCGAAGCTTGGAGGTGGGGGGGGATTTGGCGCCGGTTCCTCATCACCACGTGGCTGCTGCTGCCTCCCCGCTCATTTGTGGCTCCTCCACGTGGCACCTCTGAGTGGTCCTCTCTCTGAGAGCGACGAGCGGATATTGAGCGCGGCGCAGTGTTACAAGCTGACGTCGTTGGTGTTGTATGGTATCGGCACTCTGGCAGATTTCATTGCCGAATGCACAAATATAAAAATTAAAACTGTCCAGTGTGCGGCTGTGGTCATACAGAACAGACCGCAGTGCAACGTGTAACGGCGCAATGCCCGATCCACAAAGACGAAGGAGACATGACAGCGATACATTCCGCTTCTCCTCATGCGGTTGTCTGGCTTGACCACCTGAATGTGAAAGAAGAAGAAGAAGCTCTCCCTACCCAGGCTCCAGGGAACCCGGATTGGTCTTTCTAAACAAGAGCCCAACCAGCGCCGAATCTACCCCAGCAGGGCCCCACATTTCCGAATAATTAATTAATTAAATTGTTTCCCCACAGGATTTCAGATGCATGCCCCTTCTACAGGAGGGCGCCATTTCTCACTCGATGTTATCCGCAATGCTGCTAATAGGCTGCCTTGGAGTTAAGGGGATTCTCGGCGTAAGGCGCTACCACTGGAGTACAAGGCACGCCTATCCTTAACAATCCTGTGTTATTGTAGCTCTGTATTCCGATCGTCCTACGGACAGGTTGATACGGATGATGCTATTGAGTATAGAATGAGGACACTCGTGCGACATGGATGTTTAACGTAGTAGTAGATGCGCTCCTGAAAAGTGCTGCATGAATTAAAAAACGCGTTGAGCGAAAACAATTTATCCATAAATAAAGTAGCGATGGAGTTGGGCGAGATACAAAGACAAAGATCCCCCGTATAGACTTAACAGACTGTAGGGGCAAGTGCTGTTAGCGAGCACCTATGAGGGCGACCCGAGTTGGTTTTCCCGCTCGCAGCCACCAGCACCAGGTGACGATTATGTGAACTGGTCCTGGGCCTCCCCGAGGTCGACTCAGCCTCAAATGAGTACCATGGTGCGGTGCGTAAACACACTCGCGAGACAGAGGGAGACAAAGGCGGCCGGGCGTGGTGCTGGCCATCCTCCCCCTCGTGTGCTACTCGCTAACACCACTTGTTCCGAAAATCTGTTAAGGCTATACAGGGGATCTTTGTCTTTGTTCTATCGTCTCTGTGTTTTCAGTGGCTGAGACGAGAATCGTGAGAAGGGCAATGGATGAGGCGAAGGAGGAGGGGGGTGAGGACGTACGGGAATGTTCAAACTGGTGAGTGCACGCAATGTGCACTTACCCTCACACCCCAAGCACTCACCCATACACGTAATGTGCACTCACCCTCACACCCCAAGCACTCACCCTCACACCCCAAATACTCACACCCCAAATACTCACCCTCAAACCCCAAATACTCACCCACACACGCAATGTGCACTCACCCTCACACCCCAAATACTCACCCACACACGTAATGTGCACTCACCCTCACACCCCAAGCACTCACCCACACACGTAACGTGCACTCACCCACACACCCCAAGCACTCACCCACACACGTAATGTGCACTCACCCACACACACCAAATACTCACTCACACACGTAATGTGCACTCACCCACACACGTGAACTCACCAAAGTGTGTGGGGTGGGGGAGGGGGCCACTCCACAGGTTGGGGTTAGGGGTGGAAACTAAAACTATAAAACTAATTTTTATTTTACCAGGTAAGGCCCACTGAGCTCTGTAGCTTCTTTCCAGAAGTGACCTGGCCACAAATGATCGCTCAATCAAGTTGCTTATCATATGGAAATTTATAGCAGCCAAAGACTCTAAACGCGTGGTGATGTTGATTCTAAATGTGGAGGGAAAAACCGGAGGACCCGGAGAAAAATCCACGCGACCACGGGGAGAGAGAGAAACACGCAAACTCCAAATACACAGCAGCAGCAGGCGTCAGGTTTGGGATCGAACCGATGACCTCCTGTATACCAGGCGAGGCAGTTAACATCTCGCCACCTCCCCCTGTCCTCGGGATTGCGACCCAGAAAACCATCAAGTCATTGAGCGAGATGAGAAGCTCTGGCTGTGTGTGCCCGCTTCAGTGGGGAGCGGTAGTGCAACGGTTAGTACGCCGCACTACGAACCTGGCGACCCGCTCACGGCTAACGCCAGTGACGGTTATCTGAATGGGTCCTGGGCCTCCCCTAGGTCGACTCGGCCTCAAATGAGTTCCATGGTGCGGTGTGTAGTAAACATCGCCACTCGGGAGAGAAAAGCGCCCGGGCGCGGTGCTGGCCACTTACCCCCTCGTGCGCCGTGCCTGTCTTTATAGGTGCTCACCAACAGCACTTGTTCCGTCTGTTAATGCTTTATGGGGGATCTTTCTCTTTGTGTTTCCGCGTCAACTGTGCCAACTGTGCCAACTGTGACACAGGAGGGGGGCACAGCTGGTGCATATGCCGGTTATCTCGGTCAACCCATGACACCTGGGTCTGTCCCGTTACGACCTGCCAGTATGTATCGCACCGTACGTAGCCAACCGTGCTCATCGGAAGTGCTGGGGAAAAACAACAAGTGGGGAAGGACAGCAGCTCGCCCTTCGACATTTTACGTGGCCTCAAAGTCCACCTAGCCTGGCACGAGCGCCGTGGTGACGTCACCGCCACTGAGTGGCTGACGGCCGTTGTTGTTGTCGTGTTCCCCGCGTGTTGTCGCCCCCACAGCCGGCACTCGATCGCCGCGGCGAACCTGGTGCTGCACGAGGCGCACTGCGCTCGTCGCCTTGCGCTGTGCGAGCGCTGCGGGGATGCCGTGCCGCGCGGGCAGCTGCAGGAGCACGTGGAGAGCGAGCACTCGGAGGTGAGGCGGCATGCGGCATAGCACGCGAGATAGTACAGGAGAATACAAGACAGCGTGAGACAGCGCGATATAACACGAGGCAGCACGAGGGCAGCATCTGCAAGGCAACACCCACATGAGTTGCCACTTAATGTTGAAAAACCGCATAGTAATAACCCCCCCCCTCCCCGCCGGGAGCTGTTACCCACGTGCATGCCAGTGCTTCGTACACATCTAGTGCGGCAGCACAGGGACAGCTGCCACTGGGGGCCCCCTACGCTAGACCATGCCTTCTGCCGCGGGACAATGGGAACGTTTAAGATGACATGAGAATGATGTAAGGCGCTTTGAGATTACAGGACATTTAAATGCCTGCTAGAATTTTCATAGATACGACAAACTCGACCACGATTGAGTCGTGACACAGCCAACACGGTGGCGTGTAGTGTACTATATCGACACGGCTCGATTATTGCAACTTGCTACTCTACGGAACGTCTGGCAAAATAATCACCAAGCTGCAGCGTGTACAAGATTCTCTGGCACGTGTCGTGACTTGTAAAGCAAGATCTGACCGTGTCCATTCAGTGCTCGCCAAGCTGCATTGGCTTCCAATTCCGAACGAATATGGTATAAGGTCGCAAATGAACCAAACTACCTTGCTAATATTGTTAAGGAGCATAAACCATCATGCGAACTCCGGTCATCCTCGCAGCGGCTTTTGGCTGTCTGCCGAACAAAGACGGTCACCGCATCGCGTGCTTTCAGATGGAACACGTGTGCGTACATCGAAAACGTGATGGCAGTCAGCGTTAATGGCTTAGCGCGTCGCGTGAGATGTTTAAATATCATTGGGCGCGTGCAGCGTGGCAAGAGTAAATTTGTACATTAGTAAATGTACGGAAAGGCAGAGCGTGGTCAGGATTCGCGAGGCCTGGAGTTTTGGAAACTGCTTCATGGAACCACAGCGACACGAGGAGGCATCCAGGTGTAAACAAATCTCTCTCCATGTTTCCTCTACACCCAGGTAACGTGCCCTTGTGGTGTGGTTCTGGAGAAATGCCAACTTAAAGATCATCAGGTGAGAGATCATCATTGTAATAATAATTAAGATGGATAGATTTAATTGATTTCAGTAGGAAGGGCCAAACTTGCTGTTAGGTTATGGTTCATGGGACTTTACAGGTGTAGTGACGCACTTCGCAGACACTAAAATGGGAGACACTAAAGCCTTCACAGGCACAGGGAACACTATGCTTCGGTCAGGACAGCAACAGGCTGCCTGACCCACAACGCTGTAGACAATGACGAAGACGGAGACGATGACGAAGACTTGTGTCGCTCCACGGGTTCCCCTCCAACAACAGCCCTGAGTCCTCTCCGGGGCCCCCCTTTTATCCACCCAGCGCAGCCTCGCTCCCCCTTGGCAACGCCCCCCCTTCTAGAACCTCCTAGAAGGTTCCCGGGCTTCTCCCCGTACCCATATCACTACGCAGGTACGGACATCGGCCATGATACAAACCACGAGTCTCCTTTATCCTTATTTACGGAGGGCCTTCCATGACAAGGTTCAAGGGCCCTTCGCACAATGTATATTTGCATGTTGAACATCTTTCGTACACGTGTTTCACGTGGGTGTACACATGTTCCGTGTACATGCACGTGTTCCACGTGTTCCACGTGCATGTACACGTATTCCGCGTGTGCATGTACGCGTGTACCACGTGCGCGTGTACACGTGTTCCCTGTGTGCGTACACGTGTGTGCATGTACACGCGTTCCACACGCGCGTGTACGCGTGCCTCTGAGCGCACAGGGCGATACTTGCGACCTGCGCCTGTGCGAGTGCCGCTACTGCGAGCTGGCGCTTCCGCAACGTGAGCTCCCCGAGCACGAGCACTTCTGCGGCGCCCGCACCGAGCCGTGCCCGGCCTGCGGGGCCTTCGTCCAGCACCGCGACAAGAAGGCCCACGCGTTCAGCTGCCCGCGAGCGCACGCTCGCCTGCAGCAGGGGCAGCAGGGGCAGCAGGGGCAGCAGGAGCAGCAGAGTCGGCTGCAGGAACAGCAGGAGCAGCAGAAGCACCAGCAGTGTCTGCAGAAGACACTGGAGCAACAGGAGCTGCAGAAGCAACAGGAGCAGCAGAACAGACTGCAGAAGCAACTGGAGCAGCAGCAGAAGCACGAGCAGTGGCTGCAGGAGCAGCAGAAGCAGCAGGAGCAGCAGAAGCAACAGGAGCAGCAGAATCGACTGCAGAAGCAGCAGGAGCAGCAGAAGCACCAGCAGTGGCTGCAGGAGCAGCAGAAGCAGCAGGAGCAGCAGAAGCAACAGGAGCAGCAGAATCGACTGCAGAAGCAGCAGGAGCAGCAGGAGCACCAGCAGTGGCTGCAGGAGCCGCAGAAGCAACAGGAGCAGCAGAATCGACTGCAGAAGCAGCAGGAGCAGCAGAAGCAACAGGAGCAGCAGAACAGACTGCAGAAGCAACTGGAGCAGCAGCAGAAGCACGAGCAGCAGCAGAAGCACGAGCAGTGGCTGCAGGAGCAGCAGAAGCAGCAGGAGCAGCAGAAGCAACAGGAGCAGCAGGAGCAGCAGAATCGACTGCAGAAGCAGCAGGAGCAGCAGGAGCAGCAGGAGCAGCAGAAGCACCAGCAGTGGCTGCAGGAGCAGCAGAAGCAGCAGGAGCAGCAGAAGCAACAGGAGCAGCAGGAGCAGCAGAAGCAACAGGAGCAGGAGAATCGACTGCAGAAGCAGCAGGAGCAGCAGAAGCAACAGGAGCAGCAGAATCGACTGCAGAAGCAATTGGAGCTGCAAGGGCAGCAGGATCGACTGCAGAAGCAACTGGAGCAGCAGAAGCAACAGGAGAAGCAGAATCGACTACAGAAGCAGCAGAAGCACCAGCAGTGGCTGCAGAAGCAACTGGAGCAAACACCAAACAAAGAGGGGCACCAACAGGAACAATGGAAGCATCACCAAGGGCTGCGGCAAGGGCACCCGCATCAGGAGCTATGGCATCTACCGCAGGGACAGCAGCAGCACTGTGGGCTCTGTACAAAGAGAGAGGATGAAAGGGGTCCCAGTCGGAGAGCAGGCGCAGGGAGCCAACGAGAGACGCGGCAGCAGCTTGGAGTGCAGAAATCCCATTGGAGAGACGAGACGAAGAGAGCGAGAGAGGCAGAGGAGAGAGCCAGAGAGCAAGAGGAGGGGGAGGGGCAGTGGGAGTTGGCAATGGAGAGGCAAAAGGAGACGCGAACAAGGATTCACATGGAGCGACGGTGGGAGTCCAAAAGGCTGGGAGGAACCCCGGAACGCGTGGGGGGGCCCAGCTCGGGCACGAGACGAGCCAAGCCAGCCAGGAACCTGGTGTCCTACAGCAGCGGTGAGGGCGGCCCTGCCATGCGCGTTGTGAACCTGTGCGCTTGCTTTGTTTACTTCCCTGTTTACAGCGTGTACCTTGGAATCACGTGGCCATGTTAGATCGTGTAATAAATGTGTCGTTAAAACCCACCACCACCCGACACAGCCAACTAGTAAGGGTTGTCACGTAGAACGTGCCAATTCGTCACTAGTACAGCACACCAGTGTGTTGGAGAGCCAAGCCACAACATTTACCATCCGTACTTTGTAATTACTGAAGGGTTTTTTTGTCCGGCACTCAGTAGCTACTATTGGGTAACTATTCACATGCCTATTTAAAAACTGGTCGTAAGAATTTTTTTTTAAAATAAAATTCTCATCAGGCCCCGTGTTGTTAAATCTCCAATCTGTCTCTCTGGCTTCTCTGTTTATGTGCGGTGAAAATGAGCCATTGCCCAAAATCTCACCGATGACGTTGCCACCGCCTGATCTTGACCGTGCCACCACCTTGCCAACAGACGACAACGGCCACGCGGGGGTCCTCGGAGACCCCGAACCCTCGCTCCCGACCCCTGCCACGCCGTCGTACCGGGCCCCGGTGACGCCCGGGGCGGACGATTGGGACCGCACGTCCCTGCCGTGCGAGTTCTGCGGGCTGGACTTCCCGGCTGACGAGCTCATCCTGCACCAGGTGAGAGACCAGCGCCGGGTGCGACCCCTCGTGTGGAGCAACCGAGAGAGAGGGCCCACCTCTCGTCGGGCCCCTCCACGCGAACGTCTCCACGGCTGTGCTGCGCGGCGCTCGGACGTGCAGCTGTAACGCCACCGTGTCGCGTGCTCTCACGACTGGTGCCACCATTCATAATCGTGTTTTGGTGAACTCCCAGGCTACCCCCCCCCCACCCCCGTGGTAAACTGACGGACTGCCACTCCCCCCATTTCCCGAGTAAAGCCCATTGAGCTCAGAAGATCTTTTTTGTGTTTTGGTGGACAAGTACAGAGCAGATCTATGGACAGTAGCCTTGTCAATGAGAACAGCCCTCAGTGAAAACATCTTCTCACATCCAAGGACATTCACCCACCCATGGCAAAGAGGAGCTCACAGTGATGCGTCCTCTATGGGGCATCCACTGCAAATTAACACAGCAGAGTAAACCGGGTGCCTCACGGTGGCGAGATGTTATCTCCCTCGCCTGCTATGCAGGTCATGGGTTCGATCCTGACCCTGACGCCTGCTGTATATTTAGAGTTTGCATTTTTTCCCCACGGTCATGTGGATTTTTATCCGGGTCCTCCACATTTACAATCGACGTACATTCAGAGTTTGGCTGCTGCTATAAATTCCCACACGTGATGATATCAGTCACTTCACGCAGTCGGCCTTACCTGGTAAATAAAACAGTTTAATAGTTTAGTCGAATAGACATCTGTGAAAAATAGCTTTATAGCTAATCGGATTTCATCAGTCTAAATATTCTGTTTGGTTTGTTCAAACTTAACTCTGCGGTTGTCATCCCTCATGTAGAGCGGCTGTAACGTGGAGCTGGCACACGCGTCTGTGGACTACCACTACACAATCCCCACAATCCCCACAACCCCCACCACCACCACCACCAGGATCCAGCACCAGCCCGATGACCGCCGGGGTCACCGCGAGCCCTCCAGGAACGCCTTCTCCCCTCGCGATCCTGGGAACCCGGCTCAACGCGATCCCTTCGCGATCTCGGATCGCCTGAACCCACATTTGGATGCGAGTTACTGCGAGCCCTCGCGAGGCCCGGTTCACCGTCTGCCGTGCGAGATCTGCACGGAGCTCGTGGAGGCCGAGCGGCTGCCGGAGCACCAGGTGCGGGGCACGTGCTCGCTCGTGCCGAGCCAACGGTCTCGAACGCCGCTCCGGGAATTTTGTCCCCCGGCCACATCTACCTCCCGTCGTTGTGTCCTCGTGATACTGTGGCGGCGGTGGTGGTGTGTGTGCGGTGGGGAGTGTGCGATGGTGTGTAGAGTGGTTTTTGTGTGGTGGTGTGTGCGGTGGTGTGTGTTGTTCAACTCCGTACCCTATATCATATTTGTGTTAGAGCGCGTGAACCACTACGCCACCGCTCCCCACATTCGCATAGACACATGCATACACACACGTACAGATATATACATATATTGATATGACTATCGAATACTTATTTACTTAACATGTTATTGTGTGCGTTTGTGTTGTAATGTGAATAGCATGAATGTCTGGTGCAGCAACTCAGAGCCATGAGAAGTTTTTCTTCTGGTGAGATAAACCACATCATGTTCCACCAGATCATACCACACCGCACCATAATACACCAGATCATACACCATATGACATCATATTACACTACACACAAACCATCACTTCATTCTGTTTATAACCGTATGTCACCATCTCCCCCCCATATCCCCCTCTCCTCCCCATCTCACCCCCCCCCCCATATCCCCCCATCTCACCCTCTCCCCCCATCTCACCCCTCTCCTTCCAATCTTCCCCCCTGTCCCCATCTCGCCCCTCTCCTGCCCAGCTTACTCTTTCTCCATCTCACCCTCTCCTCTGCTTCCTGCATCACCTCCTGCACCACCTCCTGAAGCTCTACGTTTGCTGACCATCTCATTGTGTCCTCCGCACCCCTCAGACCCGGGATCGTGGACCCTGGACTCGTGATGACGATTTTTCAACTTGGATTCATGGATGCGTTTGCTTCACGTGCTGTACTTTACTGTATGTTTAGCTTTTGTAATTATGGTAACCCATGTCAAATTTGTTTAACCAGGTGAGAACTCTAGATACCCAGGGAGTCTCATTTGCAAGAATGGCCTGGGGAGATTGGTCAACCATAGGGGCCCCAATGAGTGCTGCTATGTAGAATCCCAATTGAGTAACTTGCAGCGTCATTTTCGAATTCGACAAATTGAGACCGTGTCCTGGTCCTTTGCGTTCTCCATCCTGGATACACAAACTTGAACGAACTGATGGGATCTGAGTTCAGGGAACCAACCGGACATCTGTGATGGGTAACTTTGTGGGGCAAGGTTTGGTGGATCGCGTCGTGTTTGTGTCGCTGGGCCGCCGCGATGTGACCAGCAGGTACCAGTCCATGTGGGAGTCCAAGTGTCAGTCCAGGTGGCAGTCCAGCCAGTGTCACTGAACCGATCCGTGCATAAATCGAGATGCTGTATGTCGAAACGACTTCAGAGTTTTGCGAGTCTTGAACCAATCCAGTTGAAATTATGCACTCTCAGAAGGTCATTTGGCTGATGGGATGTGTAAAAAACAACTTAGATTTTAAAAAAATATTCTATGTAGACAGACTTGGGAAGGAGGCACTTGATGTGTCTGCTGAGTTTGTGCAATTAAAATTGGCGGTAGTCTCTGACTCGGGGGTTTTCTCCGGCTACTCCAGTCGAAATGTCGTATGTACTGTATGTACTGTGTGTACTGTGTGCACTATATGTACTGTGTGTACTATGTGTACTATATGTACTATATGTACTGTGCGCTATATGTACTGTGTACTATATGTACTGTGTGTACTGTGTACTATATGTACTGTGTGCACTATATGTACTGTGTGTACTATATGTACTGTGTACTATATGTACTGTGTGTACTGTGTACTATATGTACTGTGTGTACTATATGTACTGTGTGCACTATGTACTGTGTATACTGTATGTACTATATGTACTGTGCGTACTGTGTACTGGTGTACTATGTATACTATATGTACTGTGTGCACTATATGTACTGTGTGCACTATATGTACTGTGTGCACTATATGTACTATGTATACTATATGTACTGTGTGTACTATATGTACTGTGTGCACTATATGTACTGTGTGCACTATATGTACTGTGTATACTATATGTACTGTGTACTATATGTACTGTCTGTACTGGTGTACTATGTATACTATATGTACTATGTGCACTATATGTACTGTGTGCACTATATGTACTATGTATACTATATGTACTGTGTACTCTGTGCGCTACTCGGCAGGCAGCTGTCTCCTCGTGCGGTGCATTGTGGGCTGGGTGACGCGACGCGGTTTCTCTTTGTGTGCTCCTTTTTTCGGAACTCGACTACGAGAGCGAGGAAAACTCGGACTTGAGATATTGCAGTGCTCATGAAGAACGTGTTGAGTTGTGTATTGTGGCAGCACAACACGTGACCTATGTCACCAACCCCCGTGTGGCCGTGCCACCACCCCGCTCGCTATCGACTGCGTACAGCAGCGCGTCAGCACGTGTCGCGCTGCGTACAGCGGCACGTCAACACGTGCTGCTGTACAATGTCTCTGGGATTTAACGGTGATCAACGATGCGGAGGACGTCCTGGCAAACGTGTTTGCTAATGCAATAAAAATATATACCTCGCTGTTTTTGTAAACTTTCTTTAACCGACAGCGATGCAGTCTACAGTATGTCGAACTTCTTTCGCACCGTATGTAGCCAACCGTGCTAATCGGAGGTGTGGGGGAAGGATAGGAACACTTGGCGAGTTCTGTCAGATAAATACCAACAGACATTTGCCTCACAAAACGCATCACTTAAATTATATGTATACAGTATATGTACATAATATTAAATGTTTAGTCGTGTAGTTTAATATCTATCAGTTGTCACGACCGCCGAGGAATCTCTGACAAAGAGGCGCCACAATGCCAAGATGTTGACTACCTCGCCTGGTATACAGGAGGTCGTGGGCTCGATCTCCACACCGATGCCTGCTGCTGCTTGTCTATTTGGAGTTAGCGTGTCTCCCCCTCTCCCTGTAGTCGTGGATTTCTCTCCGGGTCCTCCGGTTTTTCGCTCCACATTTAGAATCATGTCCTCTATGTATTGACGGACACGTTAACCACAAAGGGGGGTTCACATCAGTGACACCCCTCCTGGGAAACCTGGGGGGGGGGGACCCACAGAAATTGAGGCAGAGATTCAAGAAACCGATCGGGAACCCCAAGAAACTGCGTCAGAAGTGGTTGTCTCTCGGCTTGCCTCCAGCCTGGTGAATCCAAATTCGTCTCCGCTCTTCTTCCGACACGGGGTTCCATTTCCATGAACGTACCCTGCATGTCTACAAAAGGCAAAAAGTGCTTGAAAGACAGCTTTTATTTCACGTTTAAAACATGGACCTAAACACGCGACGCTCGCGCTGTGCCAATGCATCAAGAAAATTATCGACCGCTCCCCCCCGCTAAGATGTGGGGAGAGAATCTGAGGCTCTGCCTCCCACTTCCATCCCACAGATTGCCTTGTTCGATCACCGAGCAGATTTAAATCCAACCACAGCCTTCCTTGGCTTGCAGCGCAGGGTGAATGGGTTCGGGTTTAGGGATTAAGCAACCGAGTTCGGGTTCGAAGTTATGGGTTAGGGCGGGGGTCGGCAGCCTGCGGCTCTCTGGAGCTGGATGCGGCTCTTTCAGGAACTCCTTCGTGATCGTTATTATTGATCGACGTCTCGTATTCACTGCGTGCATTGCGGCTCTTGAAATATTGAGGTTTATTGAATTCGAAAAAATGGTTCTTGTTATTTTGGTTGCCGATTCCTGGGTTCGGGTAAAGGGATAGGGGGTTAGGGTATAGTTTAGGATTTAGTGATAAGGGTGAGAAGTTCAGGTTGGGGTTTAGGATTATTTCCAGTAAATGAACAGGGTTTAACAATGAGGGTTACAAGTTAGAAGTTAGGGCTTAGGGGGTAGGGTTTCAGGTTTAGTGTTTGGGTTAGGGTCACTAAAACTTGAGACTGCTCTTCTTTCCCTGCATCTACCGGGGGGACAGTCGCCTCTGGCCTCAGAACTCCCTCCCCTGGTCCCACTCAACGGCCACGGCTGCAGCTTTTCCGCGTCTATGGTCACGTGCAGCCACAACGCTTTAGGAAGAGTTTTGTTATTGGCACCTTTCTGCTTCTATCGTAACTTCTAACTTAAAAATATCAAAATTAATCTACAACCTTTAATGAGCATTTATGTTAAAACGCAACGATTTTTTTGGCGTGGGGGGGTTCTCGAGAACTCCTTTTGCATAATCTTGAGAAAGGGGACGGTAGCATGCAAGGGGTGTCCTACTCCCAGAGGAGATGTACGATGCGAGTAAGCCTCGTGTGAGACTCGTTGGGCGAGGCTGGGCTCCAGCGAGAGAAGGCAAAACACCAAGGCACATTTTAGTAGACACCGCGTGTGCTCTTTGAGGATAAGATAGCATTGTTTGTTTTTCTAAAAAAAAGACTCCCGCAAAAAAAGAAATATTTTCGTGCATACACAGACACGCTCACTGAGCTCGCGACGAACATACACACACACCCCGCGATTCCGGTTGGCAAGGTGGTGAGCTGCTGGGAGAGGTACTGCATTGGTAGTCTGCAAGCTGTATTGATTCGTAAACTCAGGCGGTACAAATATTGACTCTTCGTTTTCGCGGAGTGAAAAAACCACAACCGAATAAATATTGCTCATTTGATATCGGCAGTGACATTGCAATGAAGCGTCCATGTTCTCTGCAAGTTGTTGTTGGCGGTGGTGTAGAGGTATGGTGCAGGGTAGACAGCGGTGTCGGTGGGGGTGCAGGAGAGGTGATGGAGGGGAGGGAGGGAGAAGGAGGCTGTGAGGAAGCTCAAGCTGCCGATGGAGGTGGTGGGGGGGTGGTCCTCCCCAGCCTGCATGCACACACACGGCACGCAAAACATTGCAGTACGTTGTATTGCAATGTACCTCACTAAATTGCATTGTACAGTACATACATTATATTACTTTGTACAGTCCTAAACTGTATTGCATTGTATTAAATTTTACAGTATTTTATTACATTTTAGTGTTGTATTACATTTTAGTGTTGTATTACATTTTAGTGTTGTATTACATTCATCCACAAACACTCGGGCTGTTCCCATGCTGCAGTGAAACTACAACGTAGGATGAATGGTAATACTATCGTTGGTTATTGCAAAATATTATATCATGACTAAAGTAGGTAATTTTATTTTTCAGAAATATATTTTAAATAAAAGTTGCAATTAAATATATATTTTACGTTAAATTAGTGTTTTACAAATCGGGTTTTCTGTGCACAAGTTACGGCACGGCAGTTAAGACACCACCATCATGGTCGTCATTGACTCCGTTTAGTTGCTTGTTGTGTAAACGGACGCGATGCGCGCCGAGTGTAACCAGCACCCCGCCACGCTGGGGCAGGGTGGCAAGGTGGTGCCCGCACACGCCTTATGTGGAGAGCGAGCTTCAGTTGAAGGACGTTTATGTGATCGTTATGCCCATTGGGCGGGTGCGAGCAAAGCACAGTTGTGGTAAATAAAAATGCGAAGGCAAATTACCAAGTCACGGGAGGGCTGATATCGTGAAACATTACGTCGCAGAATGCATCATAATAAACAAAGATCAAATAATTCAAAGTAAACTAACGGTCGACCTTCAATTTTTGAACTGTGCCTCCGAAGTTGTCGATAGAACATTGCATCTGATTCGCGAAAACACCCTGCGTTAGAAATTATGTTTTATTATTAATATTTACACCTGGTTGGACTACCCAGGTTGCGGAATAATAACGCTTGTAAGTAAACGAACGGAACATTTTTGCGTGTGCACGTGGGACCTACCCATTTCCTCGATGGGGGGCGGGCGATATGGGGGCACCGTCCCCGCCACCGCCGCCACCCCCCCTCACACGTTGTGCGATCGCGGAACGGATTCTCCTTCCGGACGCATCTGCATTTGCATCTGAGCCTGCATGCGCATGATCATCTCTTGCATGCGTCGCAGCTGCACACACACATGCAACACAGGCAATGAGTCGCTTGTTTTAGCTTTGTATAAATTTGGGGAAAAAGTGCTGCCCTGCACAATTGCTTGCCAACGCCACTGCTGGTGAAACTGCTTCCACTAGGGGGAGCTCTACAGAGTGATGACGGTGGCGTTATTGTCAATGGTGATAATGGTGTCGTTGATAAGTGATGGCGTTTTTGTTGTTGATAGTGATGACTGTAGCGTTGTTGGCAACGGCAGTGTTTCTACTGCGAGTAAGGTTGGTACGGTCGACGATGGTCACGTTGGTAACCACTATCCCACAATGACAAGCGTGGTACAATCTGGTGAGACGTGGTGAGAGTTGGCACTTGCCGCATCTCGCAGTGGTGATTCACTCAATGTGAATTCCCGAGCGACGTTCGAGTGCATTATTATTATCATCAACACGGGTTCAAACATGTCAGGTCAGGCCCTACCGCTGGCAAAAACTATGTTCATTACATGCATCTATGGTGACACATGTCCCTGCTTATTGCGGCTCATCTGATATTCGGAGGCTGTCAGACGTTGCCAAACGCTTTCCTCCGTTGGCTCAATTCTATTAGAATCTTAACCTCACCGCAAAAATATTCAACCCTTTAAACGCCCCTAAACTTTTAAACAAAGTATTTTGTGTTGAATACGTACACACAAATGTCACACACACACACGTGAATAACATATTTACAAGCCCACTATGCTACAAAGACAATGATGCCCCGTATAGCCTTAACAGACTTTTGGGGAAAGTGCTATCAACGAGCATCAATGAAGGCCGGCACGGCACACGAGGGGGTGGGTGGCCAGCACCACGGCTGCCTGCATTTGTCTCCCCAGTGGCGATGTTTACATACTGCAACAGGTAGTTATTTGTGGCTGAACCAACCTGGTGGAGGCCGAGAATAATCGTCGCTGGTGTTGACCATGAGCGGGAATCGAACCCGGGCCGCGGGGATTGTAGCGCTGCGTGCTAACTGCTGCGCTACCGCTACATACACACTCGCACCCACGTGCGTAAATCCACCCTTCACAACAATGGGGACGTTTGTTTGTGCAGAGCCACCCCCACTCACCCGCTCCCCCGCCGCCCCCACCCCTCCCACCCCTCCCACCCCGAAACCTCTCAACCTGGGAGGATGGAAAATGTGCAGTGGCAATCTCTGGCTCTCGTCACATCTCAGAAGCGCACCAGAGTTGAACCCGATTAGTGCTTGTATGGATGTCTACCACCACCGGCATGTATATACCTGGTGCTAAAGGCTGCTGCGGAGCCAAGCTGTCAGCAGCAGAGGGTGGTGCATCAAAACCCGTTGTTGTACTGCACTGATATGCTCCCGGATATATGCTTTGCCTTCACCAACTCGCACTGACTAGCGTGGGGAAGTATGGTGAAACAACCTCCGAGAGCAACGTGGCGTGAGCAGCCATTAATCCAGCAACGGAATGACAAAGGGTTTTTAAGCAAATGCCTTAAAAGGGAAAAAATATATAATAGGCTATATTTCAGGCAATGGCCCATCTTCAAAGCACATACATGAAGCGGATTACCTGAAACGTCGCCTATTATGTATGTTTCCTTTTAAGGCCACAGTGTTATTTGTGCTTGTGCGGATCTCGTAAAGGAGCATAAACCATCAGGAAAACTCTGGTCACCCTCACAGCGGCTTTTGACTAACCATCGAACAAAGACGCTCGCTGCATCGGGCGTTATAAAATGCGCTTCTGTGGCCATAGAGAATGCTCTTTTGATATTAGAAAGCCACTGGAGCTATGCACTTTTAAATCATCTAGATTGACAAAATAATTTCTTACAACTGATTTTTGCGTTAAGTGTGTTGTCCTTCCCCTGCACCTCCGATTTGCATTGTTGGCTACGTACGGTGCAAAAGAAGTTCAACATACATACATTGTGCATCGCTGCCAACACAGCAGCAGCATCACCAAACGATCTGTACACAATCGTGGATCACGTTTACAATGTGACATTCACCAGGTGAATATCAGGCGGTGGTGGCTACACTGCACGTGGCTGCCTGTGATCCAGCGCTGTGTGGAGGCAGAAGCAGTAGCGAGGGTTGGTGGCTCACTGCACGAAAGTCGTGAAACTCCCCTCCCCAGTGAGCGTAGAGGAGGAGCCGTACCCTGGCTCCGGTTTCCTTCCACATATAAACCCCTCATTAATTGGCCGATAACACCTTAATAAATAGAAGACTGCAGAGCTTCGGTAATCATTGGCGACGGCTCACCGCCTGGGTGCGGTCAGCCAACTTGTCAGTGGCTCCTCGTGCCTCTGAATGTTTCTCTCTCGCTCACTTCGAAAGTGAGCAAATTATTTACGGCGGTGGTGCATGACAAGTTGAAGTTATACAATTATAATGTATCCGTGGGAGTCTGAGAGCTGTGTGTAGGAAGCAGGTACACGGGTGGGTTCTTACAACCAAACCCTCCACATATACCTCCATGATACAGTGCTCTGCGTATCCGTGGGAGACAGAGGGCCGAAGGATGCGGGGTACACGGAGCGCTCGGTTTTGGGGGGGGGGGGTCAGGGCGGGGAGGTTATATCGTTTACCTCCGCCTCCTTCTGCTGCAGAATGACGTCGGTGTCTCCACCCTCCTCGGCGGGGGGCGCCTGACCCCTAAAGAGCCACACGGACACGGCGAGGAGGAGAGACGGGTAACGAGAACTTTATCCCCTAGGAAATTACCGCGTGCCGCTCACGATTCTTCACTCGACGCTGGACGGACGGAGCCTTCTCGAGCGCAGCCCCAAAAATCTGGAACACCGTGCTGCCTGCCACGTCCGAAATGCGCCGAGTGTCTCTCGATTCCGTGGCCTGTGCAAGACCCAATCTATTAAGACTTGCCTTCCCGTAACATGCAAAATTAAATAAAAACTCTTTACTTTTCATCACGAGCGTGGTCAGCGCGCGATGTGAGCCGAGTGTGGAGGGCAAGTAGTCTGTTCTCCAATAACGTGGAGCGCGTGGGGGTATCATCTAGAAGCTTCCAGCAGCATCCCGCCTTGAGTGATGCTTCGCCGAGGCAGCCATACAACCGCTTATTCCTAATTGCGCGACATAGTTCTGATCACTCAATCGCGTTACAGGCAATTCGCATCCGCGTTATAAAAAAATTGTTCCCTAATACCTTCATCGCGTTACATCCCATTTGAGTTATGAGAACAACACACAGCGTTCAGGAGAACAGGCTGCAGTTATTTTTATTTCTTTACTTTCGCTTGCTCAGCCAGGGAATTGTCACACGACTCCCTTTCAGGAGGGCCTGCCAAGTATTCGCAGTAAGGGGGGTGGGGCGACGATCGCTCTGTATACTCCTAAAGAGTATTATGCTGCTATAAATGTCCACGTGATAATATATTTCGTTGAGCTATCATTTGTGGCCAGGTCATTTCTGAAAAATAAACTCATAGCTCAGTGGGCCTTACCTGGTAAAATAAAAAGTTTTCTTTGTATATTTTATTTTAAACGATTTGTTTACCTTTCCTATACTTTGCACTACTATCGTGTTTTTGTATTATTTGTTGTAACGTTATGACCCTGTGCTCCTACTGGACATCTGTGAAAAAGAACTTCATAGCTCATCGGATTCCTCCAGTAAAAATATTCAGATTCTGATCCCGAGTGATTAGTGGTGTAGGGTTTCATATTTGGAAAATTTGGACCGTGATGCCGGCACACATTAGTGTGCTTCTTTTGCAATTAACGTCACGGAATCTAGAACGTCCGCTGTTAAGCAGACGACCTGGAGTATATGTACGGTTAGTACTCACGCCACAGTACTGATCAACATGTGTACACATGTAGAACTTCTTTCGCACCATAGTAGCCAACCATGCTGATCGGAGGTGCATGTGGATGAGGGGAGCGTGAGACAAGGGTGGCAAGAGTGAAGTTGGTGCACGGTGAGCGAAAGGTGACAGCAGGGGGCTTCCCAGCAAGCAAGTGGTCAAGGTGCTGACACAGGCGATCGTAAGGTGTGCATTTATAGTCGAGTCTTCAACTACTGCATAGAAAAACCCATCCCATCAAATTTTATTTTGTACTTGCTTTGGATAAATTCCAGATGAGAAATTACACATTTCAGTTTGACCGTCACTGACAAACGTTACTCTCAGCCGCGGGGAAAGTTGAGGAAGTGCTGCCCCCTACTGTGTTAACCAGAGGTCACTCAAAGGGATCTCAGAGGTAGCTCTGTAATATTTACTTCTGTGGGCCGTTCCCAAACACGAAGAGCTCTTCACTAATTAAACAGTTCATGATGACGCGACTTGGATGGAAATCTCACATTTTTTGTCAAGATGAATTTATGGTGAGTATGAGGCGAGTGCTTAGGGGCAGGGTGTGAGGTGAGTGTGGAGTGGTTGCTTCTTACCGCGTGGCTCGCTTAAGACGCTCTGAGCGGAAGTTCTCGTAATGGAGGTCCTGGGTGACCTCCTGCAAGTCCTGCATGTGAGTGCTGCCAACATCAACATCGTCGTCACGAACTTCATCAGCAAATCACAAGAGCATGGTGCACAGCTTGAGTAATGTAGTGTGACGTGTATTATAGTGTAGTATATAATGGACAGTAGTGTAGTGTGGCATGTAGCGTAGCAAATACATGAGCATGGTGCGCAGCTTGAGGAAATCGTTGTGCTCCGGGTTTTCCACTTCCACCACACCCCATGGGTAGAGTCGTCCGCGCACCTTCTTGCCCTTCACCTCTATCAGCTGATTGGAGCCCACGACCGCAAAGGGGATGCTCAGCTGCGGGAAGCATGCATGCACAGGACACACGGGCAAACGATCAAACGATTCGTCATTTTATAATAGATTATTTTGCTCATGATCAAATCCATGAATAGTGATTTCCTGCTCAAATGAGCATTATGGTAGTGGCAATTTCCTTCTCATAGCCCAGGGCTAATGGTGGAAATGTCACATTTATATGGCAGGGGATATACATGGGTCATAATGTGCGTGTAATAGTTTATTTCGATTCCTGTAAAAACAAGAATTATTACTTTTAAGGCCAAAGGTTAGAATGAGACAGAACAGGACAGTACAAACATAGAGACAGTAAACATGAGATAACAGGAGTCCAGGCGGCTTCGAGGTCTGGGCGCCGAGTCGGAACCGCTGAGATCCTGAGTTCAATCCTCCGCAGTCACCCGGCCTAAGATTAAACCACCGGGTTTCTTGAGTGCAGTGAGATTATCATTTCTGCCCGGTCACGAGTGACTTAAATAGAGACCCATAGACTCACATTGAGACCTATAGACTCACACAGAGACCCATAAACTTACACAGACACCCATACTCACACAGAGACCCATAAACTTACACAGACCGGGCTGTGGTTCGACCGGGTTATCAGGTGCAGCGAGTTGATTGTCACCTTAAGAATGCGAGTCTGCTCCTTGAACTCTTCATCCTCATCCGAGTCTGCGTCAGGCAGGTGATAAATCTTGATCCCACGCTCCTCGATCTCATTCAGGATCTACGCACGCATGCATGCACATACAACGGTGGCGAAGATGGACTGCACTCGGTCCACAGGTTACTGACGGACCAAAACTATTTAAACTAAACTATTATTATTTATAGGCCCACTGTGGGCTACAGTTTTTTTTCAGATGCGACCTAGCCACAAATGATAGCTCAACAAAGTGGCTTATCATGTGGAAATGTACTGCAGCCAAATACTCTAAATGCATGTTGATTCTAAATGTGGAGGGAAAAACCGGAGAACCCGGAGAAAAATCCACGCAACCACGCAAACTCCAAATATACAGACATCAGGGTCGGGATCGAACCCATGCCCTCCTGTGTACCAGGCGAGGTCGTTAACATCTCGCCACCATTGCTCATGGACCAACGCAGGAGCATGCAAGTGGCAAGCACGTCCAACAAGGGCAGTGGACGCAGAGGTTCATGGTTTGAATCCAGCGGCCACCATGGTTATTGCTGCGAGTCGAATAATAATAATGCTGCTTCAGTGGACTTTACAGATCCTGTTACGACAGTCACAAGAATAGGCCGTTGTGTGCCAGCGGTGGGACAAGTGGGAGGACAAGCGGGAGGAAGAGCGAGAGGACGAGCGAGAGGACGAGCGAGAGGACGAGCGGGAGAACGAGCGGGAGAACGAGCGGGAGAACGAGCGAGAGGACGAGCGGGAGAACGAGCGGGAGAACGAGCGAGAGGACGAGCGGGAGAACGAGCGGGAGAACGAGCGGGAGGACGAGCGGGAGAACGAGCGGGAGAACGAGCGGGAGGACGAGCGAGAGGACGAGCGAGAGGACGAGCGGGAGAACAAGCGAGAGGACGAGCGGGAGAACGAGCGAGAGGACGAGCGGGAGGACAAGAGAAAGGACGAGCGAAAGGACGAGCGAAAGGACGAGCAAAAGGACGAGCGAAAGGACGAGCAAAAAGACGAGCGAAAGAACGAGCGAAAGAACGAGCGAAAGAACGAGCGAGAGGGTGTGGTGGTGCTGGCGAGTGAGCCATATGGTGGTGGTGTGAGGCATCACCCTGCGTTTGAGTGTCTCCCTTTCCCGCATGGTGAGCGTGTCAGCCTTGGCGATGACGGGAACGATGTTCACCTTGTTGTGCAGCGCCTTCATGAACTCCACATCCAGTGGCTTCAGCCTGAGACAGCGCGATAGCGAGTCAATGTGCGGCAACGGACTTTGACTTGGGCCAACGCCAGATCACTATCGCAAATGAGACCCACCCTGGTCTCTTGAGTTCTCACTCGGTTAAACAACCTTAAAGATTTTAATGAAGGGAGGTTGTGGGGGGTTACGCGTTTGGGTGAATGACAAAAATGCAGCGTCCCCATCTGAGCGATGCTCTTGCATCTGGGTCCCAAGGGGAAATAGAAGCAGCAGTGCATTCGGTCGTCGACGATGCGTCTAAGTGGGCGAGTAGGTGGGTGGATGAGTGGGAGAGTGAGTTAGTGGCTGGGTGAGTGACTGAGTGGGTGGGTGAGTGGGTGAGTGGGTAAGTGGGTGGGTGGGTAAATCACCCATGTCCGAAGGGCGAGATGAAGTAGAAGCAACAGTGCACGCGGTTGTCGACGATGTGCCGTCGGTTGAGTCCGCTCTCATCGTGCAGGTAGCGCTCAAACTGCTCGTCGATGTACTGCAGGATCGTGTTGAAGCTGCGCAACACGAGACGGCATGCGGAACACGCAGGAAACGCAGGCTTCCCTCGTTAGTTGCGTCGGCGGGGCAAGTTGTTACAAAACGCCTTTTGGCGTCCTCTGGTCTAACACTGTTTGAGACTGGGTTCTAAAGAAACCTGTATCTGGTGTGGACCAATCCGTTTGAAAAACAATACATATACTATCAGAGCATGATTTTTGTGTTTGCATGTTCACCACGAGTACGTGTGGTTAATGCAGACATGCTTCCTTGCAAAAGGTTTCCGTTTGGTGTTTAACATCTTAACACCTGTTGTATTGCCAGAAAGGGTAAAACCTATTCTTATAATTTGATAATAGCAAGGGAGGTTCAATGATGTTTTATCGTGCTATGAACACCTCTACCCTCAGACAAGTTGCTCACTACCGAATGCGCACCACGCAAGCCGCGTGCCTGCGAGTGAGCATCAACGTACCAGCCGCGGCTGTCGATAGCGTCGCCGTAGCCCGGCGTGTCGACCACGGTGAGTCGCAGCTTCACCCCGCGCTCCTCGATCTCCACCGTCGACGCGTCAATCTGCACCGTGCGCTCGATCTTCTCTGTGGGGGGCGCACGCAGTCACGTGTACGCGGTGAGCCAGCGCGTAACAAACGCTTTGCCCGAGGAGAACGCCACTCAACGAGTCCCGAGACTCTTAGGACTCCCATATCATCCTGAATGCGCCCAATCTCGTCCTATCTCAGAGGCTAAGCAGGCTCGAGCCTCGTTAGTACTTGGATGGGAGTATGAGGCATTTGCATTTTGGGGTGCCATGGTGGCGAGATGTTAACTACTTCGCTTGGTATACAGGAGGTCGTGGGTTCGATCCCGACCCTGGCGCCTGTATATTTGGCGTTTGCATGCTCTCTCTCTCCCCATGGTCACGTGGATTCTTCTCCGGGTGTTCCGGTTTTTCCCTCCACATTTAAAATCAACATCACCACGCGTTTAGAGTATTTGGCTGCTGTAAATTTCCACATGATAAACCATTTCGTTGAGCTAACAGTTGTGGCCAGGTCACTTCTGAAAAAGAGCTATATCGGTCAGTGAGCCTTACCTGGTAAAATAAAAATAGTTTTAATAGTTTTATAGTTTAAGTGCTGGTGTTTGTCAATTCCTTGAGGAGTACGTTTGGCATGTGGGAAGGATGCCACAATGGCTAGACAAAATCCACAGATACAAAGAAGAGTGCTGAAACTCTAAACTCATTGGCAACGCAGGTTGCCGATCTTTGCGAATGCATCGGTACCAGGTAAAGGGCGATTCAAATAAGTGTGCAGGTGACGAGTGAACCAGGGTTAACGCTGCACTCGCGCGAGTCATGATGCGCACCTGCAGCGCCCGGGATTACGCGCTCGGGGTAGAGGTCGGTGAGGAAGAGGCTGTTAATGAGGGTTGACTTCCCCAAGCCCGACTCGCCTAGACGAACACAGCCACGAATACACAACACACACTTGTTAGCTTGTTTAGACCGCTTAACATCTCACGGTGGCGAAATGTTAACTCCCTCACCTTGTATGCAGGAGGTCATGGGTTCGATCCAGACCCTGATGCCTGCTGTATATTTGGAGTTTGCATGTTCTCCCCGTGTGTGCATATATTTTGCTCCGGGTATTCCTGTTTTTCGTTGAGCTATCATTTGTGGCCAGGTCACTTCTAAAAAAGAGCTACATAGCTCATTGGGCGTTACCTCATAAAATAAAAATTGTTTCGTTTTAGTTTAGAATAAATGGTTCTAGCGAACACCTGTTCAGGTCAGCATGGCACAGGTGTCTTAAGAAGGGCTTTGAGAATGTCATGGCAAGACAGGATAAGCATTGCAGTTGTTTGGAAGAGAACGTGGCAGGTGAGTGCTGCAGATTTGATTTGTGGGAAAAAAACAACGGTTGCGCTGGGTTGGACGTGTGCGAGTGTGTGAGTGTGCGAGACAGCGTGCACTTACAGTGCAAGTTTGAAAGAGTGTCAGTGCAAGTGTGCGAGTGAGCAACAGCGTGGGTGAGTGTGAGCGCATGTGGGTGCGAGTGTGTGTGGGTGCGAATATTTAAGAGTGTGTGCGGGAGTGTGTGTGTGCGGGTGCGCCTGGTTGAGTGTCTGTGTGCGTATGTGCGAGCGTGTGCGAGTGAGCTGGCCTCACCGACCACCATCAGCGTGAACTCAAAGCCCTTCTTGACAGACTTGCGGTGGACCTGGTTGGGGAGGTTGGCAAAGCCAACATAGCCGGGATTCTCTGGGTTCGTGAACTGCTGCTCGTGCAGGGAAGAACAAACAACAACGCAGGCCCACACGTCAACAACAACAAGCAGCACTGCGTGCTCCAGATTATACGGTGCTCCGGAAAGTAATACGGACCCCAAACTTGTGCCCGGTGTCAATAAAGTTACACAAAATGTGGTCTCACACACGCGCGCATGCACAACTACCGGATCACACGACGTACCCCAACGTTTGCTGTAAAATACCAGGGGAGGTAAAGTACTGCTTAAAATCCGGAGAATGTGGTAATTAGTATATTTGGTATTCGCGACATTCTTATAACACGCGAGGCTATAAGGAAATGGCAATGTTTCAGAGCAGAGTATAGTCTGCCAGTAGGGGGCAACATCGCTATAAGCTTTTACCGAATTCGCTAAATGAGGTAATTTACAGGCGATTTTTTAATTTGACAAAATGTCAACCGTGACAACGGCTCACACATTACCTACTCTATCGAATTATGCTACGGGATCTTTAACGTCCACTATGAACCATCGGCATGGATTAGTTTGTGTAGATTCCTCATCTGCACGCGTTGCTTCCACCCACTCCACTTTCATCTCACATGCAAAAAACCCTCCAATGAGGATTCTGCCAAATATCCTAATAAACAGGACCCTCTCGGAAAATAAAATAAAAAAAACGCATTTAAAAACTCGAGGGGTTCAGTAAATATTACAGAAAAAGAATGCTATCATAACAAGAATAATAATAAACTTACACAAAATTCCCAGAATTCTGAACCATGTAGGTCCAAAAATACAAGCATTTATGGTGAACATGCACACACCGACAAGTCTTGATTCAAGCCCCAAAGGATTGCAAAGAGCGTGAGACTGACCCCAAAAGCTCCTTCTAAGTCTAAAACTCGCCAGAGGGACCGTGAGATGGCCAACAACGCCTCTCAGTGCCCACCACCCCTGCTGCCGGCTTGCATACCGGAAATACCAGCAGCAGACAACGCAAAAGACGTACACTTGACAAAGGCTTTAGGGGAAACTGCTGTTCACGAGCGCCTATGAAGGTCGGCATGATTGACCCATTAAGGAAGGAGTGGTGTGGCCAGCACCATACCCGGCCACCTCCGACTCCCCCCAGCGTTTGATGTTGACAACACCGCATCGGGTACTGCCCTTTAAAGGCCGCGTCGGCCTATGCATTAGAGGCCCGGTACTGGTTTCTATTTATCACCACCGATGTTAGCCATGGTCGGAAATTTTATTCCAGTGGTGGGCTTCGTACCATCGTGTGCCAACCGCTGTACCACCGCTTCCCACGTACTGGACACATGGACAATTTACACTCACAAAACAACACAGTAAGTTAAATAAAACAAGGAAGTAAAATCACTCGTATGCATGGTTTCTGTATAATGCCTTCCAACATGTCTGATAACGCTTCAGGCCGTACAACGAGATGATGCAATCCGCTGTTTTTGTCACCAAGTTTTGGGCAACCCTTCGGTAAATGTGGCCGGTTTCTACCTGGTTAGTTGCTCATAGCAACACAACTATACTCTTTGGTTCTATTCGGTAAAGTCACGTAGGTAAAAAATAAAACAAAAATCACGACGTTTCGGCCACAACACAAGCGGCCTTCATCAGGTGAAGGGACCAGGCTGTCTCGAGGACAGCGTGACTTTACCGAATAGAACCAAAGAGTATGGATCCTTGCAGTCACGAAAGCTTTAAATCTAGAAGCAACACAACTTACACGAAACATCACCAAAATTAGACCATATTTACAAGAGCCCTCGTGACCCCCCAACAACTGTTCTAATCGAATCTCCGATTGCCACGGGTGGCTACATACGTTGCAAAAGAAGTTCAACATACAAACAGACAGATGGACAGATACAGAACATGCACAAACAACAATTTTGGCCTCCGTTTGCTACCCGACTAGGGGACCTTGCTGTGGGAGGTTTATATGTTCGTCCCCTGTTCTGCAAAGGTTTCCTCCAGGCTGGTTCTTTGGTTTCCGTCCATAGCTTAAACTAAAACCACAAACGCTGTAACTGGTATTGGACAAACATCCCAATGCTACAAAACAACCTTCAAATTAAATAACTAGGATTTCACGCAGCAGCAACAGCCTGCTACTGCAAACACTTAGCAGGACTCTCCAAGTGAATCTTTCCTGCATAAAAAAATATAATTTCGATTTAAAGCTTTCGTGACTGCAAGGGTTCATCTTCTTTGGTTCTTTCGGTAAAGTCACGTAGAATGAGAATAAAATAATAAATTGATAAAATAAAATAACACAATAATATTCTCACGACGTTTCGGCCACAACACAAGCGGCCTTCATCAGGTGAAGGGACGAGACTGTCTGGAGGACAGCGCTGTCCTCCAGACAGGCCGCAGATGATGTACGAATTACTTTCCCCTTTTCTGGATAGCGTTAAAGAAAAGATGCACATCATCTGCGACCGCACCACCCCCGTGCACCATCTCATCACCCCCTGAGCCGTGTTCCTAACAACCCCCCCCCCCCATTCCGGTTTATCCCATTTTCCAATTGATCCGCCGCACTCCCTGCAGAGGTGACTGGCTCCTGTGTTAGGGGGTTACACGGCCTGGTATGCTTCCTTGGCAAGTGCCCAAACGCCGCCGCTTGAGGCTGCTGCATGAAGTATTCTTAGGAACCGCAGACCCCTCCCTGACTCACGGTGACATCCGCTTGGGCTGCGCTTTCGTTGAGAATGCCGAATGGTGTTTACGTTGGTATCTAAACACATTGTGTCTCAACTACACACAATTGATTCTCACAAGGAAAGGGGAAAGAAAGGTCAAGACTGCTGTCGGGGTTTGTTTTGTTAATGCTGTACATGCAACGCCGCTTTTAGCATTCTAAGAGGGCCCCTAAATTCCATTTGAGTTTTAAAGAGGTAATTTGACAATACTTCACCACGCTGATCAGTGCAGGTTGGTGAGAGCGGGGAGCATAGCCACAGGAAAATAGAAATACAGTACAACAGTGGACTTTTCTGCACTCCCTGTGCTGCCCACCATGTAGCAGACACGGCGAGTGATGATAACCTGTGCTGTGCATGGTGGGGACCCCAAGCAGAGCGCTATCCAGGCTCAAACCTGCTTGGCTTCTGAGATACGGCATGATCGGATGTATTCGGTGCGATCTGGTCATAGTAACGAGCAGAACATTTTACACCGGCACGGCCTTCCCAACACCGGGACCACCGCTGCCACACTAGAACGTCTGGGAGCTTCGCACGATTTCCTCTCGAGACTAACAACTACTTCATCGACGGCTCCACCTTGGAATAACAAACAAGCTCGAGGACTAACTCCAACGTGTCGGTCATCTTACCCCCCTCGCCCCCTTCAAGCCCACCTGCTCCAACCTTCCTTTCTGAATTGCGTCTACAACGCTTTCTGTCCAAAATCTATTTCAAACTCTCGACTATGTTAACTCATCCTGCCATCACCTCCTATCTATGCCATCCCGTGTTCGCCTGTATTTAGGTATTCTAAGGCCAAGAGCTCCGTTTCCCGATGCATTGTTAAAGCCCAGCTCTCCCGACATATACCGTATTCTCCGGCTTCTCGACATTTGAAATAATTTTCTCTTTTACAGGTGCCCAGTCCAAGCTGGGGTCAGCAATGATGGGAAATTTACAAAGGAAGTTCGGCAGCCAGATAAATTAAACACTTGCACATTACAAGATACTCCAGAATAAAATATGGAAACTTGTGCCCAGTCGTTTAAGATATAAATATTTGATCACAAAGACAAATTTTCCCCCATATAGCCCAAACACACTGTTGGGGTAAGACTATTAGAGGCACATATAAAGGCCGCAACGCCACATGAATTGGGTGGGTGACAGCATCATGCCTGGTCGCCTTTGTCTCTCCTCAGTGCTGATGTTTACACACCACACCATGTATTAATTTAAGGCCAAGTCGACCTTGGGGAGGTAAGGATTGGTTCAATTATTCGCCACTGTTATTTGTCACGAGCAGGAATCTAACTCGGGTCGCCGGGTTCACACACGCACACCAGATTGTAAGAACCCACCCCCAATGTTGGTTTTAAAATACAGATAGTCGCCGAGTTCCGACTTACAATATTTCGATCTTACGATGGCGATATGACAAAATAGTAAAATATTTAAAATTTCGCGCGGCAGACAAACGCAGCAGCGTACGAGGTACGATCCTGTACGTTGGGATGCTGCCGGGATGTACGCATCTCCCGCCTTGTGTGGTAATGTCTCACTCTCACCAGCGGTCGAAGGAGTTAAGTTGTCTCGGTGTTAGTGCGTGTACTGTACCTTGTTTTTTTACTTTACATTTTACTGTGCAATACAGTATTGTAATTAGTAAATACATACAGTATATAGTTTATACAGTACGGTACCGTAAATTGCTCTGTTTTGCTAAATTATCACCATTCTTTAAGACTCCTCGGTAGGAAAGGCCATCTTCGACTTACGATATTTTTGACTTACAATGGAGTCGTCGTAACGCATCTCCATCGTAAGTAGAGGACTACCTGTACAGGAAAAACAATCAGTGTCATATAAACAAATAGTCGGAAGACTACGATTCATTCATGAACATTACTCCTGCCTCGCTGAAAGCTTGACTCGATGCGGGGAAAAAACAGAGCTTGCATAACCACGAGCATCGCATTCCAAAGAGTGCGTTAGGAATTTCCCCGGTTTAATAAGGGGTGGCCCAAACACCACCTGGAGGCATTCACAACATAACTTACACACACACACAAACAGCCCTTTGTCAATCCACTGCTGGATTGAGAATCTCCCCCACACTTTCACCAGTCGTGGGGATTTATTTGACCATAATTCACCACGCTGGTAAATGTAGGTTGGTGATAGTGGAGAGCACAAACGTGGGGCGTAGAAGGACGAACAACGGAAATGGATGCTGCAGATTACCTCTGCTGACTGTACAGCAGAGGCCGGCCGCTGCCTATGACAACCCGGCGTGCACGGCAGTCACCC